TGTGTGTGTGTGTGTGTGTGTGTGTGTGTGTGCGTGTGTGTGTGTGTGTGTCTATCTGTCTCTGTCTGTCTATTTGGTAGATGATCTACTGTTGCTTTTGTGATGCTGGGTTGATGATGTGACCTGTTGGTGTTGCTAATCAGTTTCTGACATGAGCTTTCCATATGTGGGTTTCGCCGCTTCCGCTTGATGGTGGCACATGGTGTGGCATGGATGGAATAGTTCGGTTCCCTGGAGGTTGCGATAACTCGTGAGCGGGCCTTCACCGGTGCTGCTGTATCTGTGGGATTTGGGTAAGTTGTACCATCCAGCTCACTGCAGACATAGTGCACTGCTCTGACGTGCGACTTGTATCTGTTTTCTGAAACTTCTTTCGATGGTGATGGCCGTGCATCACAATGTGCTGAAGTGTACCTGCCTTCTGGCTGAATAATACACATAGGTAACTGTTAATCAACAGATAATGAGTTCAAATACTGATGGACTTGATAATGTTAGCGCCTAAGACGTTGTCTATCAGGCACAATAGTAGAGCAGGAAGAGTTTAGAAGGGTATAATGCATTGCTGTTCACGCCCATGTCCATAACCAATGCCTTTTCTGTGATAGAATATGTCTCGCGCAAGGTGTTCGTTTCTTTCTTTTCTTTTCTTTTCTTTCTTTCTTTCTTTCTTTTTTTCTACCCCCCTCCCCGCCCCGGCTGACTCCAATTCTATTGGTGGGGAGGAACACCTGCTGGAAACCGGGTTCAGCGTCCCATGAATACAGAAAATTACATACAAGTGCTGGGAGCATTACCCAGCTTCGCTTAAATTGTCCTCGGTATCCGGTACTCTTTACCTGTCTCGCGGAAGGTGTTCCAATTGAGTGATTGACTCCTCCTCTGGGATCTCATTTTTCTTTATTTTTTTTAGTAAAATTTACCCTAAAAGCTGCTGAGGCAGTTTCGTTGGCTTCAAGCGAAGATCAGCCATGTGGATGTCTCCACATATGCATTGTTCCTTATGACTCAGCCAACTGAAGTGTGTAGCTGAAAAACACCACAGTGGTACACACCAGGAGCTATTGATAACAAGTGAAGAATGCCAGAGTTCAAATCCCGTCTAATAGCAATTGTAGGGTTACTACTGGTATTTTTTATTTTTCCTTCCTACATCGGACAGAGGAACAGCGTTAAAAATCTACTAACCAAGACTAAGCTATTCTAAGGTTATGGGTCTACGCCTACCTACCTCTGCTCTGTGGGGGGGAGCAGCACCCAAGCTCTTAACACCTGGTGCGGGCTGGAAAGACAGACTCGACGTCCACACTGGCAACCAGCCAGGAGGTACAAGCCGACTTTCTCAGTTGCTGAACCCGAAGCGTGCCACACAGGGGGTCCTGGCGAATCGAATGGATGCCTTTGGGAATCGAACCGATGACCTCCTGTGTACCACTCTACGTGCTCAACCCATTTGTAAAGGAAAAAAGGCAAAAAACACCGCCACGAATTTGCACACAGTAATCATTCTATCGTTGGAGTTGCACTGCCAAGGGGATACAGCACCTGACTGGTAGCACTGACCAGCTGATGCTTTGACCTGTCGGTGCCCTCTAGCCGGCCACTTGTCACCATGTGCAAGGTTTGAAGGCAGCTGGGTAGAAGGTTCACACACACACACACACACACACACACACACACACACACACACACACACACACACACACACACACACACACAGAGCGCGCGCGCGAGAGAGAGAGAGAGAGAGAGAGAGAGAGAGAGAGAGAGAGAGAGAGAGAGAGAGAG